ATCCCAAAGATGGAAATGAACAAACCTGGAACAACTTGTTCTTGACAGACGTTGACTGATTTAACAAAAGGACCGTCCGACCGAGCACCCAAAACATTTCTATCTTTGAGATTTCCATGCATATATCATGGATTTTGAAGCAGCAAGGGGATGTTCAAAGTGGTGCAAATACCAGTGGAAAACCAACACCACGTGCCCAAAGTGCTGCAAATACCAGTGGAAAACCAACGCCAAGTGCCCAAAGTGCTGTAAACACCAGTGAAAACCAACGCCACGTGCCCAAAGTGCTGCAAATACCAGTGGAAAACCAACACCAAGTGCCCAAAGTGCTGCAAGTACCAGTGAAAACTAACGCCACGTGCCCAAAGTGTTGTAAATACCAGTGAAAATCAACACCACGTGCCCAAAGTGCTGCAAGTGCCAGTGAAAACTAACGCCACGTGCCCGAAGTGTTGTAAATACCAGTGAAAATCAACACCACGTGCCCAAAGTGCTGCAAGTACCAGTGAAAACTAACGCCACGTGCCCAAAGTGCTGTAAATACCAGTGAAAATCAACACCACGTGCCCAAAGTGCTGCAAATACCAGTGAAAATCAACACCACGTGCCCAAAGTGCTGTAAATACCAGTGAAAACCAACACCACGTGCCCAAAGTGCTGTAAATACCAGCAAAATCAAGATAAAAATCATACATTTCTCAAAACACTGTAAATACCACGCGAATTAAAGATAGAAATAAGTCAAAAAAGTTAAAAAAAAACAAGTTAAAAAATCAATGTTGCCCCGAGTTAAAAATATTTCTATCTAGTCGGCCGTCGCTATAGTTATATATAATATTTGATTGGTTGTTGTGGCAACCTACCTGAATCCTTTTACAAACTCAGGTAGCAGTCACACTTGCGTTGTGTAGCTGGTGCCCATTTGCGGAGAAGCGTTCTGTTCGGTTGAAGCCTCCAGATGAGCTTGCCTTTCCTTTGTTTGTGCCCCGCTATGGGTGACACTCGAAGTTTGGGCAACTCCTCGCAACCGGCTGTAAAGTGTAACATTCGCAGTGTAACCATTCGCTGAGCCCTTGGGACGAAGCGTTCGGCAATGCGACAGGGCAGGCTTCGACAGGTTTCACTTTCAATCACGAGGACCAGGGTGACAGATCCACCGACGCCGACGCCCACGCCGCTTTGTGCGTGAAAGCTTTTCGCCGTCAACGAATCCCTTGTTGTCATGCTCCGTTGGTGCCACAGAACGGAGTTGTTTTCGATTGTCGACAGGGCCTAGCAGTCGGAATAAGGAGGAACGTTCGCTCCACGTGCCTCTTTGCGGTCGTTGGCTTTCTGGCCAAAAGTACTACTTTCCCGAGCTCATCCAATTCTTTCAATTCATCCAGTGCATTGTCCCAGTTCATCGAATTCTTACAAACATCGTCCCAGTTCATCCAATTCTTCCCTCAGAAAACCGACCCTTTTCATTTGCTGCTGCTGTATGTTATCTATAGTTATCTCAGTTCCCGCTTCGTCTCAGCCCGACCTTCCATCATTTTCCATTTCATCACATTACCCCTTCGCCACACCGCTTTTCACTTCGCTTTGTCGACTACACAATAGCATGAAGCTGATTGCATCATCGACTGTTGGTTGCCCGCACGGAACGCAAATGCTGCCTCCGCTTTGCCATTGCAAGCTCCAGCCCAGCGGCAAGAAAGCAGTGGACTTGCTTTGGCAAAATCATTGTTCGCGATACGGTGCCGTGATCACTTGGTGGCTTATGTCCGCGCCTTGGCTAGATCCTTTCAGTGACCCGTGCGCTCATCCCCGTTTTGGCTGCCTCAGGGCACGAGACAGCATGTACCCACCCAGTGGTTGTGCTTGAGCCGCGGAAACGGACATGATACTACTCTTGCCAACCTTTTTCAGGTCTTTTTTGTTTGAGGCTGTTGCAGCTTTGATTGCCTTTCGGGCGTTCCGTTGCACGCTCAGTCATCTCCAGGTTCATTATTTTCATATATTTTCATAATCTCCAACTAGCCCCACTAATTAGTTGGCGCCCAGCCCTCACTCGAGATTTTGTAGCTCAGCATGACTCTGTTCTCCACGTTTGCTTCTCTCAATTCCTGAAAGCAACTAAATCCCTCAGCACAGGCAGCCTATTGATAGGTCCTCGTGCATGTGCTTGCCGCTGCTTGCCTGTCCCGTCTCGCTTTTCTACACCCAAGTCGAGCTCACCACTGGCTTTGCCCAGTGTCGCCTGCCCACGTCTTGTTGACTCTGTCTCGCATGCGCTCCGCCAACACAGTCGCCTTGACTTTTCGGAATGCGTGCTTCACTTCATAAACAAGACATTGAAGCCAACAGTACACACGTTGGATTTGACGACGCCACGCCCAAAGTTGTAAAACGTAAGGCCTATGCTCCTGCTTCCGATGCTGTTGCGGGACCTCACAGTTTGCTGCCGCAGGATTGCTGCTGTTTTGTTGCTTCTGCTTTGCTGCTGGTTTGCTGCTGCTGGCTTGCTGCCTGCTTGCTGCTGTTGCTGCTTCTGGTTTGCTAGTTTGCTGCTGATCTTCTGCTGCCGGTTTCCGTCGGTTTGCTGCTGCTTTGCTGGTGGTGTGACGTGCTAGTGCTGCTGGTCTACTGGTTGCTAGACTGCTGCTGCTACCCACCCGTCGTCGACCCCCTTCTCTCAAATATACCATCCCATAACATACCTATTCTCTCAAGCATACATAAAGGTGTGTTCTTGAGCCTGTCTGGAGAGAGCGGGGTCGCGTCTATGCGGAACAAGGTGCGAAAAATTAACCGGCATAGAGCCCATACCATGGAGACAGTGGGTGTAAGTAAGGCTGTGGTGAAACTGCGGTCTAGCCCCTTGTTGGGGAGACCAAAACGCCATCACAGAGACAAGCAACTGGGAAGACAAGGCAGCAGCGGCAGCGGCGGACCAACACCTGTCATCGAGAAGCTCGACAACCAATATTGAATATTGCGCAGTTTGGAGAAAACACACAATTTTTTGGGCCCTATGGTTGGCAGTAAGGAGGGCCTATGATAGGCGCATCGTGGAACGCACATAGCAAAAACCTGACGGGTAAACAAAATCTTTAACAACCGACCTCAATTAGTCACGTGTGGATCTTTTTTGATAAAGACTTGTTGCAATACTGGCACAAAAACATCATTGCAAATAAGAAAATATCATCGTTTGCGACAAGCGCTTCTTCGATCCAAGTCGCTAGTGAAGCGCGCCGTTTTGCAAGCGGCACACTTTTCAGTTCTAGACAGCTGCTTTCAACGTGTTTGTGCTTCAGCCGGTGTTTTTGATGTGAAAAGATAAGACAGATAAGCGGTGGCAGCTTCAAAAGAGCAATTCTTCACTTTTGACTGTTGACCTTGGTGGTCTCGGCTTTGTGGTCAGCGGGTTAGCGTGCAAGACCTTGGACAACAAAATGCACGCTTTGCAATGAATTATCTTCACCCCCTTAGGTGAAGGAACGTAACCTACTTTGTGTCGGGGGACCCATACATGTACGTATGTTTGCCACCCATCTCGTCTTTGGCCCTTAACTGAGTAGAGGCCATATTCATGGAGCCCCCCGTTTGACTTTTGTTTTGTGTTGCTTGCGTGCTCCTGGGCACTTCCCAGGAAGAGGAAGTGGTTCATGAGAATGGGGAGGTGGCTGGCATATGTCACATTCAATTCTATGCGCATGTAGCTTAGGACGGGGGACGTGGTACTGAGCGCTTTTGTTTACAGTGTACCCCTATCGCGCTCAAGATCTTGGTGTGCCGTTGGGGGAAGCCATCAAAACACTGTAAACTAGAAACGGCAAGCAACATACTTCAAAAACCCTAAAGTTTGCGCTTCTTACTCTGTTGCAGCATGACACTTGCGGTCTAGCGGATCGGATTGACACGTCCATTTTGCCTGGCAGATCCTGGCAGGTACACCACTATCAGATTTCCACACCCGTTTAAATTTATAGTACTTATACGGTTTTCAGCCACCGCCACTTAGGTGTCGACATGTTGCACGTAGGATTCTAAGGGGAAAGGGTTTTTCCTGTCATAGAAGTTAAGAAGCGCAACTCTCGGCACCCCAGTGTATTTGTCCACCTTACTGATTCCAGATCCCAGATCTGCATGGCACAGTGAACCCAGTATACTATGAATTCGAACTTGTTCCTGGTGGTTGCTATAGGCATTCCATGGCATTCCATAGGCGAAAGCTCTTTGAAAGGGAGGGGTTCCAGCAAAGCAGTCAGCAGTCTGATTAGGGTTTTTGTGAGGTCGTTGCGAAACGGTGTCTCCATGCAATTTCGTGTCTACGGGTGGAGGCGTTTGTTGCTTGGTAATGTATATGTCGGGTTTGCTGCTGTTGGTTTGCTGCTGGTTGGCTGCTACTGGTTTGCTGCTGTTGGTTTGCTGTTGGCACGCTGCTGGTTGACTGCTGTCGCTTAGCTCCTGCTGCTGCTGCTGCTAGTGCTAGTTGGTTGCTGTTGGTTCGCTGTTCTGCCTTGCTGTTGCTGCTTGCTGCTGGTGCTGCCGCTGCTGCAGCCTGGGCTACAAGGCCTACTCACTTGCTGCCGGACTTTCTTTTGAATGTGTGAATTTGGTGCTCAAGACACCCGCCCACCCGGGCCCTTGGAGGAAATGATCCATGGGTGCTGGGAGGGATGTGTCTCACCATCCGCCACGACAGGTGACCGAAGCTTAGCCTAAACATCGGCTCCAAGCACATGAGACACTGATGCCGCAGAAAAGTGAGAGAAACCGTGCAGTCTAACGATAGGAATGCACACGCACGAAAGAAGGCAAGCCCCCAACTTGCTCACAGCACTTCAGAAGTCCCGGAAAGGAACCCCACCGAAGCCTCCCGGGCTCGCAGCAAAAGCCTTCGTCATCGCCCTCGACGACGAGCTCACAACAGCACGGTTTGTGGATGTTTGTCAGCACTCAGCCCAAGCCAACTTCCCGCCACCTATCACATAAGCAGAGGGCGAAAACAAAGGGGAACCCTTCATGCCGGCTCTGTTTTCTCTGGCCCAACAACCTACGCTTCCAGCAACCCAAGCACAACTGCAACCAGGCGAAGGCGCTGTACCCACTTCTGGCTGAGGTGTATGCGGTGCGCAGCAATGCATGCTTTCGCCGCCTCGTTGCCCCCCCTCCCCTTTGAAGCTTCCACCGAAGCGGACCAACTCCCCCTTGGCGAACTCCTCGGACGGGGGGGTCCCTAACCACATTGTCCCGACCTTTGTTGGACTTTTAGCACATTCGGGGGCCGCCGGTATACAAATGGCCGTGCACATCCGGGAGCCGCCGGTATAGAAATGGCTACTAACCAGGACCTGCTGCTGAAAAAAGGCGCGCAGGAAAAAACACATGTGCGAGCAGAGATTTGCAAGTTCGAACCCCTGTGCGACAGAGAGATTCGAAAGTTCGAGTTTGTGCATTGGCATTCAATTTTCGAACATCGTCCACGTCTAAGGCTACGCTGGAAAAGCATCCAGAGCTCATGGAAGATTTTTGCCTGAGCAAGAATGGATACTTTTTGACCAAGGCCGTTATTCCGGCCGGTCTTTTCAGCCTTGCATGGGACATCCGGAACAATTGCTGCGTGTCAACTAAGCTGTGGGATGTCCCAGATTCCACTCCAGCCATGTCAGTACCCGATGAGCCGTACTTGCGTTTTTATTCTCAGCTCTATTGCGAGGTACTGAGGCTGGTAGGCAAAGGCCACGATAAGTTCAAGGCTGAAACCAGGCGCCTTGCGTTTAAGAATATTAAGATCCGCGAGGTCGAGGCATGGCGTGAGGAGGCCGAAGAGAAACTTGACCGCCATCAGCTCCACGGCATGTCCAAGATCCACACTGAGACATGGCTGATTTTTCTCTCCACCCAATTCTCGATCAAAACCCCGTGATGCCCCGTGTGGGGCAGTGAGACCCCCCATTGCATCAGGCAAAAAATGAGCGGCTCTTGTGTTTTGGTCACGAGCTGTCTTGCCTGGATGTCATGATCTGGTGTTCTTGAAGACAGCCATGGTCACGAACAATTTCCGTTAATATCCTTTATCCTGCACGAGCAAAGAGTTCAGAGTTCAAAAACAAATGATCAAATGATACCAAATGCTACCGTTCGTGTGGCAGCATCATGAACACGTGTCAAGTGTCATAGTGTGTGTACCCATCATCATGAACACATGTGGAATGTCGCTTAGCAAACACCATAAGTACGCATCAAATCCCTCGGTGTGGGCAAATCATGAACACGCGTCGCGCGTCATGGTGTGTCTAGCAATCATCATGAACACACGTCGAACGTCATAGTCATGGTGTATGTAGCAGCATCAAGAACACGCGCCATGTGCTGTTTGATAAAGTTGACACGACTACATATACGGGGCCCATCCGTTGGCACAATCTTCTCCGACCAGGTGAAAATGTCAAACGGTTACGTGGCCATGGTTCCAAGAGTAATGTCATTATGTTGGCCGTGCATGATACGTGTATTTGCGTTTCACGATGCAGGGGCCAGACCGTGCGAAAAAGGCAAGCTGGACGGACAGTCGCCTATCAAACCACATCTGGGTCCATCAGCGCGCCTTGGTCGTAGATGCAGCATGAATGTCCAGAGCCACCGCCGTGTCCAGCACACATCATCATGTTGCATGGGCCCGGGCGGTCCAGGTAATAACTTCAAACTTATTATTTCGAGGCACAGCTGGTGGCCGCCCCAGTAAAATATCCCATTGTAATATGCCAACGTGGCTCACATTGCTTTGTGTTTTCCACACGCTATGATTCCCAGTCACACTTTGGAACGGTATGCGCCGACATATGGCAACTCCAAAAAACATGTGACAGTAAAAGTTGTCAGCCAATGTGCATGAAGCTGACAATGTTGAATTGAACTTTGGGCAAATGGATGGTGCCACGGCCGTAGAAGCTGCTGCCAGCAACCCAGGGGATTGCAAAGAACATCAAATAACATGCCTTGCGCATCGAAACTCAATGTGAAGTGGCGTCACAACCGAGTTTGCCCAGGTGCAGCTTCAAGCTTTGCGTGGTGATGTCTCCACATTGGTCGCAGAGGTGTGCCAGTGCAAAGCTGATGTTACAACTTCGCAACCCGCAGCCCGTTAAGGGTGAAAAACATTATGAAAACACAAAGCCTGATTGTTTGACACCACAATTGGTTGGATCAACAATTGCTTAGATTGTTCCGATGTCGTTCCAGGTCGGGTTGCTGCAAGGGGTCGCCACGACTCGCGCCGAGGCAAATGTTGGCAGTCGAAAATGGAACGTAATGACAAATCAAATTTGCACAATTCAGGATTGTCGTGATTTACATATATATGTATATATGAGTTTGGACGTGCACGGCTGCCTTGTGGAGCGTGTGAGTGGGGGAGCATGTACATACAAGCAGTTCCCGGGCAAGCCGGCGGCGGAAGTTTCCTATACGTTCCTATAAGAACAAATTGACCTATAGGAGTGTTCCGGTTCTCTCAAACACGCGCGTCCCCCAGTCAAACGCACGCGCTCCGGACTTCATCCTTCAGTACAAACTTACCTGTTGACAAAACAATCAACTGTAACCAGTGTTGGGTTATGATGAGTGGTGCATGATGAGTGATGTATGATGAGTCTTGTATGATGAGGGGTGTATGACGAGTGGTGTATGATGAGTGGTGTATGTTGAGTGGTGTATGATGAGTGGTGTTTTATGAGTGGGCAGCGAAAGACGACTCAGTCGCGAGAGATGACTCAGCAGGGACAGATGACTCAGTCGCAAGAGATGACTCCTCCGCGTACTAAAGTTGTACTGCAAAATGGCCAATTCTCAGCTTCCAGCTCCACAAGTTGCTCCGCATAAGTTGTACTACATAGTCGCCAGTTCTCAGCCTCCAGCTCCCCAGATACTCCGCGTACTAAAGTTGTACTACCAAGTGGCCAGTTCTCAGCTTCTAGCTGCACAGGTTGCTCCGCGTACTACAGTTGTACTACAAAGTCGCCAGTTCTCAGCCTCCAGCTCTACAGATTGCTCCGCGTACTAAAGTTGTACTAGAAAGTCGCCAGTTCTCAGCGTCCAGCTCCACAGGTTTCTCCGCGTACTAAAGTTGCTCTACAACGTCGCCAGTTCTCAGCTTTCAGCTCCACAGATTGTTCCGCGTACTATAAAGTTGCACTACAACGTCGCCAGTTCTCAGCTTCCAGCTCTACAGATTGCTCCGCGTACTAA